TGCAATGCAACTGATTTTTAATATGCCTATACAGGCATACCTTGTTTTATTGTGTTTGCTTCATTGTTCTTTGCAGATACTGGTTTGTTTTTTTTTAATTTTACAAATTGAAGGTCTGTGGCAACCCTGCACCAAGTGAGTCTATTGGCACCATTTTTCCAACAGCATGGGCTCGCTTCATGTCTCTGGGTCACATGTCAGTAATTACCACAATAGTCCAAACTTTTTCATTAGTATTCTATCTGTTATGGTGATCTGTGATCAGTGGTCTTTGATGTTACTATTGTAATTATTTGGAGACTCGCAAATAGTGCCCATATCCATCAATGTCATATGTGTTGTAACGGCTCCACTGAACAGCCATTCCCGTCTCTCTCCCTCTCCTCAGCCCTTCCTACTCCTTGAGACACAACAATGTTGAAATTAGGCCAGTTAATAACCCTACAATGGCTCCCAAGTGTTCAAGTGAAAGAAAGTGTTGCACCTCTCTCACTTAAATTAAAAGCCAGAGGCCGTGCACGGTGGCTCATGCCTGTAATTCCAGCAGTTTGGGAGGCTGAGGTGGATGGATCACCTGAGGTCAGGAGTTTGAGATCAGCCCAGCCAACATGGCAAAACCCTGTTTCTACTGAAAAAAAAAAAAAAAAAAGTACAAAAATTAGCCAGGCACGGTGGTAAGCACCTGTAATCCCAGCTACTCGGAAGGCTGAGGCAGGAGAATTGCTTGAACCCGGGCGGCGGAGGCTGCAGTGAGCAACTCCAGCCTGGGTGACAGAGCGAGAGACTCTGTCTCAAAAACAAACAAACAAATAAATAAATAAATAAATAAATAGCTAGAAACGGTGCATCTTAGTGAAGATGGCATGTCAAAAGCTGAAATAAGCAAGGTTTCCTGCACCACACAGCCAAGTTGTGAATGCAAAAAAAAAAAAAAAAAAAAAAAAAAAAAGGGTTCTTAAAGAAGATAAAAAGTGTGACTCCTGGGAACACATGAGTGATAAGAAAGCCAGACAGCCATATTGCTATGTGGAGAAAGTTTGAATGGTCTGAGTAAAAGATGAAACCAGCCACAACATCGCCTTGAGCCAAAACCTAATCCAGAACAAGGTCCTAACTCTCTTCAATTCTGTGGAGGCCGAGAGAGGTGAGGAGGCTGCAGAAGGAAAGTTTGAAGCTAACAGTGGTTGGCTTGTGAGTTTGAAAGAAGGAAGCTGTGTCCATACATAAAAGTACAAGGTGAAGCAGCAAGAGCTAATGTACAATCTGCAGCAAGTTGTCTGTAAAATCTAGCTAAGATTGTTAATAAAGGTGGCCACACTAAACAAAATATTTTCAATGTACATGAAACAGCCTTTCACTGGAAGAAGATGCCATCTAGGACTTACATAGAGGAAAAGTCAATGCTTGGCTTCAAAGCTTCAAAGGACAGGTTGACTCTCTCTTGTTAGGGGCCAATGCAGCTGGTGACTTAAAGTCGAAACCAATGCCCACATACCATTCTGCAAATCCTAGGATCCTGAAGAAGTATGCTAAATCTACACAGTCTGTTCTCTATAAATGGAACAAGAAAGCCTGGATGACAGCACATCTGTTTGCAGTATGATTTACTGAATATTTTAAGCCCACTGTTGAGACCCATTGCTCAGGGGGAAAAAAAAAGTTCCTTTCAAAATATTACTGTTAATTGACAATGCACTTGGTCACTCAAGAGCTCTGATGGAGATGTACAAAGAGATAAATGTTGTTTTCGTGCCTATTAACACAACATCCGTTCTAGCCCATGAATCAAGGAGTCATTTCTACTTTCAAGTCTCAGGATTTAAAAAATCTAATTTGTAAGGCTATAGCTACCATAGATAGTGATGCCTCTGATAGATTTGAGAAAAGTAAATTGAAAACCTTCTGGAAGGGATTCACTATGCCAGATGCCATTAAGAACATTTGTGATTCATGAGAGGAAGTCAAAATAGCAACTTGAACAGGAGTTTGGAAGAAACTGATTCCAGCCCTCATGATTGACTTTGAGGGGTTCAAGACTTCAGTGAAGGAAGTAACTGCAGACTTGAAAGTAGAACTGACTCTTGGAACCGTGGGCTAAAATGAATGTTATGTTAGCAGCATGAAAATAACAGTCATCTCCTTGTACATCTCCATCAGAGCTCTTGGGTGACCAAGAGCATTGTCAATTAGCAGAAGAAGAGCAAGAGAACTAGAATTAGAAGTGGAGCCTGAAGATGTGACTGAATTGCTTCAGTGTCATAATAAGACTTGAACAGATAAGGGGTTGCTTTTTGTGGATAAGCAAAGAAAGTGGTTTCTTTAGATGGAAATTACTCTTGATGAAGATACTGTGAACATTGTTGAAATGACAACAAAGGACTTGGAATATTCTATAAATTTAGTTGATGAAGCAACAGCAGGGTTTAAGAGGATGACTTCAATTTTGAAAGAAGTTCTACTGTGGGCAAAAGGTTACCAAACAGCATCACATGCTACAGAGAAATCTTTCATGAAAGGAAGAGTCCTGATGTAGCAAACTTCATTGTTGTCTTATTTTAAGAAATTGCCACAGCCACCCCAGTCTTCAGCAACCACCACCCTGATCAGTCAGAAGCCATCAACATCAAGGCAAGACCCTCCACCAGCAAAAGGATTATGACTCGTTGAAGGCTCAGATGATCACTAGCAATTTTTAGCAATAAAATATTTTTAGTTAAAGTATGTACATTGGTTTTTTCAGACATAATGCTATTGCACACTTAATAGGCTACTGTATATTGTAACCATAACTTTTATATGCACTGGGAAACCAAAACATTCATGGGACTTGCTTTATTGCAGCAGTCTAGGACTGAACTCACAATAGATATGGATTTTATTTATAGAAAAGTAAAGTATTCTGATCATCAGAAGGTTTTCAGATTTAAAAAGTGACACATTATGCCTTTTTAGGGAATACTGTATAATTTAATTAAGATTAATTTGATACATTGGATTGAGCTAGTTCATAGTTTATCCCTGTTGTATATAATATCTATTGAACTTTGGGATGCATTTGAATATTTGTTATAAATAATTTTATTCTTAGCTATAGAAACATAAAGTAAATGGCACATGTTGTACAAATCTCAGAAAGGTGAATTTATTTTTATTGCCTCATTGATTTCACTAAAACTTGTTTCAAAAAAAGCCCTTTGTTCTCATGACATTTTTAAACTGGGGGTCCGAAGGACCAATGGTATTAAAAATACACTATATTATATAATATACAAAATAATACAATAATCATAAAAAACTCATATGTTTATAATGCTTCATGAAATTCATATGCTTTCATATACATCATCTTGATTTCCCTAACAATCTTTTGTTACAGTTGATAAAGCAACAGAGGACCAAGGAGCCTGACATGCTCAAGGTCACATCAATAGTAAATTTAAAAAGTGAAACCAAAATCTGGGCCTCCCCCGCCCAGTCCACTAGTATTTCCATCCCATCATGTTGTAAATTGAATTCCTATATTGAGTAGTGTGATGGTTAATATCGAGGATCAACTTGATTGGATTGAAGGATGCAAAGTATTGTTCCTGGGTGTGTCTGTGAAGGTGTTACCAAGGGAAATTAACATTTGAGTCAGTGGACTGAGTGGACTGGGAGAGGCTGACCCACCCTGAGTCTGGTGGGCACCATCTAATCAGCTGTCAGTGTGGCTAAAATAGAGCAGGCAGAAGAACGTGGAAGGACTAGACTGGCTGAGTCTTCCGGTCTTCATCATTCTCCCATGCTGGATGCCTCCTGCCCTTGAACATCAGACTCCAAGTTCTTCAGCTTTGGAGTCTTGGACTTACACCAGTGATTTGCCAGGGGTTCTAGGGCCTTCGGCCACAGACCAAAGGCTGCTCTGTCGGCTTCCTTACTTTTGAGGTTTTGGGACTTGGACTGGCTTCCTTGCTCCTAAGCTTGCAGACAGCCTATTGTGGGACTTCACCTTGTGATTGCGAGTCAATTCTCCTTAATAAACTCCTTTTCATATCCTATGAGTTGTGTTCCTCTAGGGAAGCCTGAATAATACAAGTAGGACATTTTAAGGGTATATTATTTTACAAGTCAATTTTGTAAAGTGCCTGATTCACATTTCTCAATATTCTTTATAATTTTCAGGTATTATATTAAGAAAATTTAGATAACATCAAAAAAAGTGGGAAGTAAATTTCAAGACTTCTTCCTGCTGTGCTTATTCAAAGTTGAGTAGTGCAACTTCCTTTTTTTTTTTTTTTTTTAAACTCTTATTATAGAAAGCCATACCAAAGTTAAACTCTTCATCCCATTTTCTAAAATCAAATTGTAGTCTAGGGGAGAGAGAGAGAAAATGGGAATGAGAATATGTTGATGTTTTAAGGACAAAAAATATCAACTGAGGAGTCTTGTCTTTGTCCATTTACAACTCTCCTCCATTTCTATCCCTTTTGCCGAGAAGAGCACCCAAAATCAGCCTAGACTCACTTTTGCAAGATTTGACTTTAGGGCTGAACTCATCTCTGTCTCCAGTTAGGTGTAGTAAGTCTCCAAGTCTCCAAAAGATCCAGCTAAATCAACATTTATACTCTTATGTAACATCTGTTCTGAGAGTGAAGTTCATGGAATTGAATAACCTTATAAATGAACTGAAACACAGGACTCAGGTTTTTTAAAAACTGTGTGTACAGACATAACCAAAAACTTCTGCATATGGGCAACTGAGAATTTGTCCATTGCAATTATAATTGCAATTCACAATATGCCCAGTCTCATCTGCAGGTTGCAAATGCTTATTACACCATTATGTGGCAAGTGTGGGCCTCGACTGTGGAAAAAGTTTTTGGAGGAAGGTATTTGGAATTCAATATCTTTTTAAGAGTTGGTAGAATGAATTTATTATAGTGGTGAAACCATAAATACTTTTTTGGGTTTCATGGCCCCTGAATGTATATGTACCATATACACCATGTCTTATTCAAATATAGGTATTCAAAAAATGTTTATTGGATGAACATATATAAATGAATGAATGAGTGTGTTTTGTAAAGGAATCTGGGAGTCAAAATGTGGCCAGAAGAACTCAAGTCCTGCTCCAGTGACCAGATTAACCAGTCCAATTTTCCCACTGTGCTCAACGTTCCTCTTTGGTTTGTAGCAAGAACCACTGTCCTCTTTGACATAGTGCAGAAACAAATGAGAAGCAGATGAGCAGGAAAACCCTAGAGCCTAGCATTCGTTTTTAACCTGATTTTCTGGCTTCCAGTATTTTGGCTCATTAAACAGGAAAACAAAATTAACTGTTCATAGTTTTCAAAACTCTTTGCATTTTCACTCTTTCCAGATACAAACAACTTCAAAGGCAAAATCACAAGAGGGTATGTGGTGAACAAGGCTTAGTTACCAAAAGAGGTCACATGAAAATTAAAAAGCATTGAAGGATAAATAGCAGTCCATATTGTCCAGGGGGATGAGCTATGCAACCTAAGTAAAAATTAAAACCAAATTACAGACACTAATTAGTGTTGTATAACATACCGATTCATTTGCATACAATGCAATTATCCTGATAGGTGCTGGATTCAACACATCCAGCTGGGTTAGTGCATCTCCAGGGAACAAAAGCATTCGGTGTTTTCCCTGTGGGTTGGCTGTGTTCTCTTATGACTGATTGCAAATAAACAATCATTCCCAGCACCTTTAGACTTTGAACATTTGAAACAAAATCAATACAGATTGTGCATGGGGAGCATTCAGACCCTCTCAGATGAACAACTAACAGGCCGATTCTGGGTCCGTACTCCATTTCTAGAACATTCTATCTGATCTTGTGTTTTAGAAAACCACATTTATTTTATGCTATATAAAGAATTCTTCTTCGTCGTCTTCTTTTTCTTCACCCTGAACTTGCAGGTGAAAGAGACATTTTGAAATTGTCTTCCTGGTACCAAGGTCCCCTTGGCCAGCAAGTGGCAAAGGAGAGACTCTTTCCTTAAGGACACTGTTGTTTTTGGAGGGAGCCACCCCCAAGGAAGAGGCTGGCAAGCAGAATGGTGGCTGGCTGGTCTGCAAATCCTTTGGAAATCCACCAAAATAAGTCTGCCTGGATTCAGAATTTATGATGGTGAACCCAGTGTCAACATTCGTCTCGGCCTCAAGCTTCTGAAAGCTGTTTTCCCAGTTGAGGACCTTCATTCTGCCCCCGGATTCAAGGTGATGAGAAGACAGGTGTAGGTGGGAACCCATAGCTGGGTTGCTGGTCTGGAATGACCGGCCAGGGCTTTTCCACAAAGTGCCACCACAGCTGTCTGATGTGGGGCTCCCAGTGGGTTCAGGAAGCTCCAGAGAATGCCGCTGGGACCTCTTGCCCTGGTTCCTCTGGCTCCTGGGTTCTAAGGTCCTCTTTGCAGAGATAGAAGTCAGCCCGGAGCCCAGCTGACTTCTATCTCTGCCAGCTCCCAAGGTGCCATTCTTAACACCCAGTTCTGGATTCAGCTGGACCTACGGGAAAAGAAAAGGAGGAACATACGAAACATAATTTCCATTAACTAAGTGCCAAGAGCTGACTATGCCTCATTCACCCTCTGCCATGCCATGTCCATAGCAGACTTTCAGTAAATTTGGTTGAATTGAACAGAAGTGATAAGTACAACATAATTATGAGGTATCTAATCAGCCCCAGTTCCAAATACCTCTCTCTGAGACTCCCTAAATTAAGTTTTTGACAAGGTTAAGACTTTGGGAATCAAATGGTCAATTGATAACACCACATTTCTGGTACAGCAAGTTGTTCAAACAATGCAGACATTCACAGATGTCATTTAGTGACCTCACTGGATGTTGTAAATGATGTATTTATTAGCAACCATGCAAAAAAAGAAATCTAAAAAGCCACCAAAACATGTGGTTAAAGTTAAGATAAGGATTGAAGTAAGAATTCAATCTTCCAAAGCTGGTGATCCTTCTAATAAAAATATGTATCTTGGGCCATTCTAAGACATGGGACCACTCCAGGCAGGCTAAAAATTTGGCAGCAATGTCCTTTAAATTCTTGGGGCACCATTTATTTAGATTAGAGGCCTGGTATTGTGGGAGAAAACAAAAAGGGGGCACATCTTATATGGAACTTTAGGTGTTTTAATTCTTAGCAATTCCACTCTGGTTACAAACTTACAGACCCCACTCAGCAAAACCCTCAACCTGCAGTTGACTGCATTCTCCCTCCACAGAATGGAGTTCACTGACCTCCCCTTTAAGACTTTGACCCTTGGGAGCCTTGCATCCTAGTCCATGCACAACACTCTTCCCAAGAAGATTTCTGGAAAAAGTCCATTTTTTCCATTTTAATAACAGCCCTTGGAAATTGGTATCCAGGATCCATCCCTACCTGGCCCAGCCCTTAATCAAATATCAAGAAGAATGATACGGAAGAACTTGAAATAAATACTACTAACTGAAAGACGCCCATCTGGGCTCATGCCTGGAATCCTAGCCCTTTGGGAAGCTGAGGTGGGAGGATTACTTGAGGCCAGGAATTCAAGACCAGCTTGGACAACTAGCAAAAAATAAAAACATTAGCCAGACGTGTGGTGCATACTTATAGTCCCAGCTATTCAGAAGGCAGAAGAAGGAGGATCCCTCGAGCCCAGGAGTTCAAGGTTAAATTGAGTTATGACTGCACCACTGCACTCCAGCCTGGGTGACAGAGAGAGACTATATGATGTCAACTATACGACACTTTGGAAAAGGCAAAACTATGAAGACACTAAAAAGATCAACCAGGGGTGGGGAGAGGGAGGGTTGAATAGGTGGGGCATGGAGGACTTTAGGGCAGTGAAACTACTCTGTATGATACTGTAATGGTGGATGCACATCCTTATACATTTGTCCAAACCCACAGAATGTATGACACCGAGAATGAACCCTAATGTACCCTATGGGCTTTGGGTGACGGTGATGTGTCATTGTAGGTTCCTCAGTTGTAACACGTGTACCACTCTGATAAGGGATGTTGACAGGAAAGGATGCTCTTTTGGGAGGGAAAGTGGTATATGGGAACTCTCTGTTCTTTCCGCTTAATTCTGCTGTGAACCTACCACTGCTGTAAAAAAAATGAAGTCTATTTCAAGGGAGAAAAAATAATGATACATATTTATCTTATGAGGCAAGAAGGCAGAAATCAGGGCAGTGAGAAAACAGGTCTAGAAATGAGTAAATTCTCTCTCCCTCTCTCTCTCTCTCTCACACACACACACACACACACACACACAGAACGTATTTGTTGTACAGATGACGCACATGTACATTCTCTCAATTTTCTGATAGAAATGATGAGATGCCTATTACCAAACTGCAAAAACAAACACAAAAAAACAAGGGCTTCCATTGATTCTTTTAGAATAGAAGTTGGCAAATATTTTCGGCAGGGAGCCAGACAGTAAATATCTGAGGGTTTGCCGGCCATATGGTCTTTATCCCAACTACCCAACTCTGCCGCAGAGCAGCCATAGACAATATATAAATGAATGGCTGTGTTCAGTAAAACTCTATGTATGAACCCTGAAATTTGAATCTCATATCTTTTTATGTGTCATGAATTTTTTTTCCAATCATGTAAAAATAGAAAACTATTTTTAGTTCCCGGGCCACAGTTGACCAAGCCCTATTCTAGATCAATGATTCTCTCTCTCTCTCTTTTTATATGTGTGTGTGTATATATATATATAGAGAGAGAGACAGAGTTTCACTGGAGTGCAATGGCGCAATCTCAGCTCGCTGAAACCTCCGCCTCCCAGGTTCAAGTGATTCTCCTGCCTCAGCCTCCCGAGTAGCCAGGATTACAGGCATGCTCCACCACGCCCAGCTACATTTTGTATTTTTAATAGAGATGAGGTTTCTCCATGTTAGTCAGGCTGGTCTCAAACTCCCAACCTCAAGTGATCCACCTGCCTTGGCCTGCCAAAATGCTGGGATTAACTGGTAGTACAAAATATGAAACAATCTAATTAGAGCAGCCCTGGTTGAAGTGCAGAGGGTAGCCTCTGCCTATTGGACCCCCTCTCTAGTTTCCCAGGGCTTCCCAGAACCAGCTTGAAAACTACTATTCTAGAATATCTAAATTCAACCCCTGGGCCAAGCCAGTTCATTAGAGAGCCATACACATCTGAAACCCCCATCCCAGATGTGTTTGTACTGAACCACAGCTGAGTGTGGTGCCCCAGAGTGTGTTGAAGAGAGCTTCCGCCAGCATCAGAAACTCTCTCTAGGGGGCGACACTGTTGAAGGGATGCCCACTGCACTGTGGCACGTGACCTTATGCAAACCCATAGGAGAAATTTCTGTTCCCAAACTTTGCTGCACAAGGGAACGTCCTGGAATCATTAAAAAACAATGAAACCTGCTCCCAGCCCACGACCTCCTGATTTCATCAGTTCAGAGTACGCCTGGCTATCACAGCTGATAAATCTCCCCAGGTAATTCTAATGTGCAACAAAGTTTGGAAACTACTGCCATGGAGCCAGAAAAGCTAGGCTTCGAGTGGTCAGTTACCTTGCAGTTGCTGTGAGTCTGTTTCTTATCACATACAGCCGAACTCCTCCTCCAAACTCTTTGCCTAATTTCATTTAGCTATCTCTCTCTATATTTCCCTTTGCTCTAATTCCACACCCCTGCCCTCCCTCCCTTCCTTTCTTCCTTCTCTCCTTCCTTCCTCCTTCCCTTCCTTTCCTTTCTTTTCTTTTCAACTGTTTGTTTTTTTAAAAAAAGTTTTATTATAAAAGTAGTAATTTATCACCATAAAAATAATTTCATTGTACCAATGAGTAAAATAAAAAGTAAAGCCTTCTCCCCACCCCAACCTCAAATCACCCCCAAATTCTCACTGTCCAATGAAAACTATTTGCTTATCCTTTCAAAATCAGGAGGAAAAAATTCTATCTCCAAAATGTCAGCTGGGGTTTCCCTTCCCCTGGAGAACAAACTCCCTCAGTCCTTCAAAGGGCCAACTACCATCATTGCCTCTTGGAGAATCATTTGACACTGTCCTTGTATCATAATGTACCTTTTTATTTGACCCAATGACATCTTTTTCTTCTAGAAATGGAAACTGGCATGGATATTTCCATACTCAGAAATGGTTCAGGGTTGATATTAGATTATCCAATCTGGAGAAAGAAATCAATAACTTTGACTCTGGGGCTTGTATTTCATTCTCTAGCAACTGTGAACAGGGAGAGAAGCCTGAGTAACCTCCCTCTTGCCACCTAAATCAATGTCAGATCACAATGAAATTGGTCCTGAAGCCCCAACCAGTGCTGAGACATCTCAGGGCAGCCAGGAAGCACCCTCCTGGGCCAGCCCAGCTCACCCCTCCACTCACCTCTGTCACTCAGTCCCACAGCCCCTCCACTGGGCCTTCTCCACCTGCAAATGTCCCATCTTTGAAAGATTCTATTTAAGCCGGGCATTCTGAGGCCACAAGCTCCAGCACTCAATTCCCCATCACATCCGCTCTTCAACATCAACCCTCCCAATCCCCAGCTTCTCCCTGTCAACCCCACCCATCCGCACTGCCTTTCAGAGCCAATCTGAGTCCAAAGACTATCACTTCAACCATTTCTTCGCCAATACCTCCAATTCCCCTCGCTATTCCCATTCTGTCACAGACTCCCACAAAATCTCCCCACCTTTCATCCATCTACCTGCCCACATTTTCTGAACATGTGCTCAGGATGCCACAGAAATGCATGTGTCTGTGAAATGGTTGCCCCATGATGGCGTGGTTTCCAGCCTCTCTCAGGCTATCTGCCAGTCTGCCTGCTTCTTTCGTCACCTCTCTCCATTTAACCAGCAGCTGTTAAAACCTTCAGAACTGTCCTGAAACCTTCAGCGGCACTATCACCCCCGCTCTCTCTCATCAGGTGGTCTCACCATCTAGATTACCAAGAAAGTAGACACTGTCACCAGTTAGCAACACTCTCGTTGCTACTGCGAAACTTACCTGCAGCTTCACCATTCTCTCTAGGTGAAAGTGACCGGTCCCTGGGCCAAGATTCCCATCACCTCCCACCTTCTTGGTGACCCCGACTTATCAATTATTCATTTTTCCCACTTTCTTATCTTGGATGTTTAATCTCTCTCCCTCTCCTCTTTCTCTCTCTCTGCCTATTCCTCTCCAACAGCAATTAAACTTGTTCAAGTCTCCTGTCTTGAAAAACACATTCTTTCCACCCTCTCTTTCCCTCCAGGTTTCTCTCTCCTCCCCCTCACTGTCAAACCTCTACAGAAAATTTGTGTACAGTCATGTTTTTCTACAAACCTCCCCTTATTTTCTCTACTCATGCCACTGACAAGATAAAATCTAAGCTCTTGGATGTGGCCTGCCTCACCCTTTACTGTCTGACTCTTCTTACACCACGCTGGTAATTCCCTCCTACCACTCTATTGAAATTGCTCTTGCCAAGATCATCTACAATCAGCCCGCTTGTCCTTCATTTTTCTTG